AGAAAGTTTAGATTAAAATAATCTGAATATCCAAGGTACGCATCCATGCTGAGGACTCACAAAGAACCAATGTAGACACGTTTATCTACCAGATGTTTGCTGTATTTCTAATAAAATGGAATCAAAAAGAAAAATGGAATTTGTGACAGGTGAACAGTGGGTTCAGATCTCTTCAGGGATCAATGTCCCACTGTGTTAAACTCTAGATAAGCAAGAATAACTTGCTTATCTTCCTTCAAGAGCCTCCTTGACGAGAATACATTAGTGAGGAAAAATATGAGCTCCAGGAGCACCAGGCACTCCCTCTCTGCCCAGGCAAAGGGCATTCCTGTTTCTCTGTTTGCACCCTGATGCCAAGAATTGCCTTTCTGCCTTCACTTTATACCAGGGCCACTGTACCCTTTGTAAGTTCTGTGAGATCCACAGTGAAACACGTCACACACCCACCTAATGGAGTAGGAGTCATACCAGCTTTCCCCAAATCCAAAGAGCCTTATTAAAAGTCGAGATAGATTACGTATCATTTCCCCTGATGGATCAAGCTTGCCACTGGCTGAATGGAAAAGGAAAAATTAGGTTGGTTGGACTGTAGCTTTATTCTTCCTGAGGCCAAGTATTTCCAGCCCTGGTCTCTCCAGATTGCAGATTATGTTTCTGTATCTTCTGATCATTTTCCAAGTTCGGCTGACAAATAATTAAGTTTATGAGTTACTCTTTTTCTGTTAATATAGAGGCATTTTAATGATTTCCTTTTCAGCTTCAAGGACCAACTTGGTCCTGCAGGCTTTCTCAACAATCGGTGCTAAGAGCGGTGGGGCCTCGAGCGCACCGAGAAGGGTTCCTACTACAAACTAGCAGGTCTGGCTGTTGCCTAGACCGATCCACAGAGATTGAGTTCTGAGGGTGAGGGGGCCCAGAGACACTGTGTGTTTACAGTTTCTGCTAAATCCTACATGGACCATCATGTGGGCTCATGAGGCGAGTTGGATGTCACATGGTGTGAGACAGACTGTTCCACAATTTTATAACTAGAAATTTTTTGTGCCCTAGGCTTGACTGTTCAGTTGGCATCAGCACAGAAAGTGAGGTAGAAACTGCTAGCTGCCCTCCACTTCCATCCCCTTCCTTCCGCAACAATAGACAGAAGTGTATCTGTAGATGCCCACCTTTGCAGCTTCTCCAGCAGAGACATTCCATGAGTTGCAAGTGGAAGTCAGAGGCAGATGGGACTGCTACAAAAAGGCCTTAGAAGTGGGCATACTCGCATACTTGGGCACGGCCACATCCCTGTGCCTTCTTCCTCCTTGCTTTCTAGAATGTGGACATGACAGCTGGCACTGCAGTAGCCAGCTTGTGATCATGAGGCAGACGCTAATGATAGCAACGCAAACAGAAGGAAGCTGCTTCTCTGGTGACTGTGGCACTGTTGCTAGTGTGGCAAAGATGGGAGCACACCTCCATTTTGTTTAAGCGAGTTATTTTAGGTCTGCTGGAGCCTTTCCTAACCAGCATGGCCAGCTGCAAACTTAGTGCCCTGATGTTGTCCTGCCAGGCCGATCCCAGCAAAGCCTGTCGTGAGGATGGATTTCACATTCATGGCATCATCTTCTGAGTATCTGGACTGCTGGTCTTTAAAGCATGTAAGTAGCAACGATCTTGTGAATAAGAGGAGGATATGAAGTGGGTGAAAGAGGCTGGTTTCTATTTGAGTTCTCACTACTGTTTCACAGTGTTGGTCTGACCTCCAGAATCAGCTGCAAGTCCCTGAGTTTGAAAATGTGCCAGGCATCTCTACCCTTACTTCCAGGTGCCTCACACTACATCGAGCACACAGTAGGTGCTCACATCAATTCTTAAATGTCTGTTTGATTATTATTAGCAGGGATCTCTTTCTGTACAACTGCCAGGCAGAAACACTGTAACACCGTAGTGCATACTGGTCACTGTCACAGCAAGAGGAGAAAGACATAGCAATGCTGGCCTCTGAGTGATAGCACAGCATTTTCAAAGCTTTTCCTCATGTATTGTCTCATTTTCTCTTCACAATGACCCTTAAAGTAGTCAGGGGCAGGTACAAATGTCTCAATTTCACAAATGAAAAAATTGCAGCTCAGAAAGGTTAAGTGTGTTTCTTGAAGGCAGATAAGTAGTAAATATCGATATTAAGAATCAGGCCTAGGTGGACTCCCAGGAAAGGGCCCTTTCTGGGACCAAAGATATGTTCTCTTTGAGACTAAACACACAGTATTTTCTGAGCCTGTACCGAGGTGAGGAGGGGAGCTGAAGGCTGGTATTGAGCACATACAAGGACACATTCAAGAAGACAAAGAAGAAATTCCTGGAGTGAGCAAAGATGAGAATTATGGCCAATGCACTGACTGCCCGAGACGCATGGGGTAGGGGCTCTAAATTCCAACATCAGCCTCAAGCATTCAGGCAGGGGTTTCCCTGGTGGCGCAAAGGGTTAAGATGCAACCTATGCAGCTACCCACAGCCACTGCAGCATGAGTTCAATCCCCAGCCAGGGAACTACCCTCATGGCACAGCAGACCTCTCCTGACTCACCCACTGCTCCCCTCAGCAGTGTATTTCAGACAGCCTGCCTGTTCTGTTCCCTACTCTGTCTCTGGTGAATCCTCACCCCCCCACACCTCTGGCCTGTACCCTAGTTCTTATATGCATAAATAAAAAAAATCTTAAAACAAAAAGCACCCAGGCAAAGCAGATACCCCAGTTACAAAAACTGAGCGGTCCATGGGAGATCTGCATATGTGGCATTTTCAGAAACCTTTGCTCATAAATAGTTGAGAGAGAGCTATTATGAACCATTATTTGCACAAAACGCTAATTGAGGTCAGATTCTCACCCACATGAGAACAAATCCTTCCACCTAGCCAAAGTGTACCTAGCAATAAGTTTCCCCATCAGGAAGATTCCTTTATATAGCGGTGAGGGCCCTCTTGTACAGTTGTCACCTCTGCCTGAGCTCCACACTCTGGCAGGACAGTCCAGGTGTCCCCATCCACCCCAATGGGGAAATGACCTCTCAGTTCCTGAGGACATGAGAGGCTGCTAATGTCCCCAGAAAACAATGGTCTTGACTGCAAAGACTGGGTTGCAATGGTGACTCTGCCATTTGTGAGCCACGCAATTTCAGACCAGCTGAATTGGAGCAAGCTTACATCTGCTCTCTTTATGCATAAATGACTGAAATAAAACCACCCTGCTCTATCCTTGAAACTGCAAGCAACTTGAAGAGGGTCACCTGTTTTCACACCTGTGCTGTTGTGCAGGAAGCAGTGGGGGAGGAGCAGTGTGAGTCAGCCCTACTCTTTGGACAGGGTGTTTGGAGACACACAAGGGGTTGTAGGCTCAAATCCATTTTGAAAACCATAAGGCACCGAATGTATTACCCCTTGTCCCTCGTTGTCAGAGTTGGAGGGATTCATCACTTCAATGCAAATGACTGTTCTTTTGTCTCTGGAGTTCTCCACTTCCCTCCCATCCCTGCACACTCCAACAGCTTCATCTTCCTAATATGGCATTTCAAGCATGTCACTCACAGCTCTTAAACCTTTAATGGCTCCCCAACACCAATGGAATAAAGCCAAATCCTAAGGCCTCAAAGCCCTTCTCCATTAGGTTGAGATCTGCTTCCTTCTGCCCTGCACAGAACTCAAATGCACCGGGATTAAAATGAGGCAGTCGCAGTTAGTAGTAATAGGAGATTATTAATAGCAGTATTCGTCATTTTAAGTGCTTCCAAATTTATTGTTATTTTATTAAATAGACTAATTAAAGCAAACATTAATTGTCCAGGTTTTCAGCTATTTTCATTTTCCAATGAGTAATCAGGAATTACTTGCAGATGAACAGGTCCTTCCTGGTTGTCTTGCATTTTAAATATTTCTGCTAGTCACTGTGAAAGCAGAGCTGACTGCACTTAATTTATAAAGGAGGATTTATGGACTTACGGATGACAACAGACAGCCAATCAATAAGGGATGATAATAACAGCATGTAATATCAAGGAACATTAGGTCTCAGGCATGATTTGGGGAGAGAAGTGGGCAGTTAGAAACCTTATCATTTGAAAAAGGTCAAGGTCTGGTAGCAATAAAAATGCCTAAGCAAATAAAATCACACCTGTGAGTCAGGAGAGGGTACAAATTGCTGAATGAAAAAGGATTTTAGATTTTGTGGGAAAATTGCTTCCTTGGGCAAGGATTTGGGCTACTGTAGGACACAGGCATTGCATCAAGAGAGGGTCTATTTATTACTGCTAAGAGCAGTAACAATGAAACTCAGACATGGAGAGTGTTTCTGAATGCCCACCTCTTCTTGAGGCTGAGATCTGAATCCTTCAGAAAACCGTGGAGGAATTAGAAGCTGCAGAAAGTCTTAAAATGACAGGGTTGAGTCTTAGTGCATATTTGTAAGAAACAGTGCCTATATGACATTCTGCCTGGTCATTTTTTAGGGGGATGGAGAGAGGAGGAATTTTTATTGACCTACTAACTTGTTTGCTTGTGTAACTGAAAAAGAAAACCCTCCAAAAGATATCATGTTGCAAATTCCATCACCAACACTTAAATTTCATTTCTAACAAAACCCAAAATTCTAAATAGTCATTATCTTTGAAAAAGATCACAGCATCACATAGGATTCCAGAGCCAGATTTTCTGCACAATACACCATCACACCATAGAGAAAAAGCCAACTCTACAGAACTTTTCAAGAATAAGAGGACCAGTTAAAGGAGGTGTGTAGATACTTCCTGTCTTTAATAACCAGGAGAAAGCAGTTAGAATATTACTGGTTTTCCTCATACAGTATCACTGTATCTTCAGAATAGGTCCGGAGATTATATTATGTATATGTTGAATTTCATTTTAAACCATCCCTGAAGGACCAAATCCTCTATTTTTAACATGCCCAGTCAAAGTTTGCAGACCCTGCTCCCCAACAAAGAGTGCAATCTTTCAGGGAAGGAAGCTCACCTCCTTGCAAGGTATACTCAGTCACAGCCCTGCTGAAGACACCCAGTCCAGCCCCGTTGTAAGCAGCCACCTGTATTTCATACTGCGTCCAGATAATCAGCTCTGTCACCAGGCAGTAGTTCACTTCTGGGCTGGTGATGTTCCTCTGCTGGTATTCTCCAGGCAGGCCGGCCAGGCGGTACCTGCATCAGAATGTAGAGAAATGCTTTGAGCCAGGAATTTAAAACCAAGGTTTTATCCTTGGTTATTGTGCAGGGCAAGAGGAAAATGGAAGCAAATAAATGAGGGTAAGGCTGAGAGATCAGCCCTAACAACACTACTTCCCAATTCAAGGATGAAAAAAATGTATAATCTCACAGTGATTATAAACTCTGGACAAAACAGAACTGGCATTTCTGCTACACTATGGTTAAGGAAAAATTATAGCTTTTTAAGCGTAACTTGTCTAGGGAGTACAGTGACTTAGTACCAAAAATTCCAGACATGTTTTCCACGGGGGTGTTGCTATAAATCAGTTTGAACAACAGTTTCCTCCTAATACTCTGATGTGGCCATGGACAGTGAAGCAAGCAGTGCTGCCTCTTGGCCTCTGTGGGTTGAGTTTCCAGTTTGGTTTCCATTTCAGAATTGTATGTCCCAGAATTAGAATAAGTCATTTTAAAAGGTGTACACACCCCACAAATGCTGGACCAATGCTAAGCATGACAAACTGCTTTTAGGAGACGACTGAGGGTGCTTGTGTGGTGTGTTCTGAGCATATAATGGCAGAAATTCAAAGTTGCATTTATTTTTCAGGTGATAGATATGACTTTGGACTTAGAAAATGCATAAATTAGGAAATTACTATTTGCACTATGAAAGGACTTTTTTTTTAGCATTATTTTGATTAGCAAACGTTTTTCCATTATTCTGTTAATGGAAGTGAATCAGTCCCCCTGGCAAAAGTGAGGGATTATGTACAGAGAGAGTAATTTCCTAAATCATCACACGGCATCCGAAAGCATCTAATTTCTGTCTACGATGTGGTGCTTGTCTCAGGGAGACGTGGCTTTGTGTTTTTATGCTGAGTGGGAAAGGGAAAGGCTGAGCAGGAGGGCACAAGACCAGAGAGGCCGCAGGACACCCTTCACTCATCCTGGGAGGCTGGGAGCTTCGAGAGCTCCTCCAGAAGTCATCCTGCAGTGCCCCCGTCAGACCAGGCACAGGACCCTGGGCTCAGAGGGGAGGGCATGAGTGAGGCGTTCTGACCAGAATGGCAGCAAGACCGCACCATCCAAAAAAGAAGAAATTCAGGCCTTTAAATGGAAAACACCTCTCCAAAGAGAATGATGACCGAAATGCACCAGGGAAGCACAGAAATGGCAATAAAAGGCTCTTCATGAAAATCAGGATTTTCTGAAAGTCGTTTTTCATCCCCTCTTGCGACAGGCCATTTATACTTGGTGAAGCCTGTTTGATAGGACAAACAAATGATCAAGAACTGACAGTACTTGAATAGCAAGAAGGTCTGAGGCCTCCTCCTGCCTTTTGCCTGGATGGAGCAAGCAAGCAGCTTGGTGGCTCTGCTGCTCAGCAGGCAGCACCGCAAGTGGAGAGCAGGCAAAAATCAAAGTTCATGGATCAAACCACGTTTTTGCTTCATGCCCCATCAGTCTGTGCTATCGACAGAAGTGGTGTTCCTTTACTGAACGCCTGCACTAAGTAAGTGCAGGTGTAATTCACAGAGGGGTCAAGTCTGTTACACCATGAGGGTCTTCAAGGTGGCAGACAACAGGGAGACTGGCTTGGTATGAACAAGCCACGGGACACATCTTCCCACTAAATCCCTATCCACAAAGCAAGAATTGTTAGAATGAATGGCACTGAGATGGTTAGACAGCCATTGGAAAGGGCAAAACTAGGTTCCACACCCACACCACATACCAGAGTATCCTGCCATATGGGTGGTGCCTGGGGCAACTGACAACTAAGAGGCACAGACTGGGCACAAGGGGCTAAGGAGAGCTCTCGTGCATGGAGCTATCACCACACACCCATGCTCCAGGGAAAAGAAAATGTCAGAGCTCCAGAGGTTGGGGAGAGGACATGTGCATTGGATAGTCTCAAGTAAGTCCTTCCCTTCTCCCAGCCATGGTCTCCACTCCCACGATGACACTGGGACATTTCATAGGGTTGTCCCAAGAATAGAACAAAGCTGATAGATGTGAAAGGGAACAAGCAGTGCAGAGCGCCCCATAAATATTTCTTCTTTTGGAATGTTGCTCTTCTAGGAAGCACGTTAAGAGAAAGCTCTGAGGGCCTCCCCTGGTGGCACAGTGGTTGAGCGCTGGGCTGCGAAGCCGCCTGCAGCCTCTGCAGCACTGGTTCGATCCCTGACCACCGGTGAGGGTCCCACATGGTGCGATAGACCTCTCCTACCACGCCCGCTGCTCCCCTCAGCAGTGTATTTCGTCAGTCTGCCTGTTCTGTTCCCGTCTCTGGCTCTGGTGAATTCTCTCACCCTCCCGCGCTTCTGACTGTACCCAGTGCTTGTATAAATAAATAAATATATCTTTAAAAAAAAAAAAGAGAAAGCTCTGAGTTAAACTAAGCTAAGTCTGGGTGAGCCACCATTTCTGCAAGCAGGGACCCTCCGCGTGTGATGCTGCAAAACAGACCGCAGACACCATGTCTTAGAAATGGGTTTCTCTCTCCTCCACATCTGGCAGCTCAGTCCATGCAGACCAGTGGTTCAGGATGTGTTTGTAATATTCACAGGATGTCTGGGAAGGTCACAATTAATAACGGAAGTGCAGGGCATCATCCTCTGACTGGTAGGCTACGTTGCCCAGGAGACCATCTCAGACAGAACAAGATGATTTTTTATACGGAAATAAACAGGAGAATGTTTTTAAAGGACATAACCCCTATGCTCCTCTCAAAGAAACACCCTGGCCATTATTATAAATATTTTATTACTGCGCACGCATCCTAACTACTTCTTATGGCCAGAGCCACAATGGTGATTTATTTCTATTTTGCTCTTCCCTGGATTGTGCTGCAGATCTGACACAGAGACTTGTGCCCTGGAGGAAACGAGCTTGCAAACAGAGCTGATTTGCAGACCAGAGGATTATTTGGAAATGTTTCCAAGCAAATTCATTCTGGCATGGATCTTTAATTTCTGAAAACTTTGATATTCACAGGCCTTGGGTAGTGTACCCTCATTTTAGGGCTTTTTTGACTTAAGTCCCTACAAATACAGATGCCCTCTTTTCCAGAACTCAACTCCACTGACACCATCATGGAAAATCCTTTCAACAGTCATAATCCCACAAAATAGAGAAATGTGCACCCTCTGATGGGAACTTGTAACATCAGAGAGATTTTATTATTAAACTCCACGCCCCGAGCCCAGTTCTGTGGGCTGACTTTTAAAGTCTACTTGACAGCTGGAGCCTAAGAAAACTATTCCTCCATGTGTTGAAAAAGACAGAGGCAGGCAAGATGAGGAAGCTTGTGATGGGCGGGTCCAATTACTGCCACTAATAGATGAGCCTGGAACAAGAGCTGCAGCTGGAGCAAGGAGCCATTTGTAGAGTGGTGATGGGGAATCTTGGCTTCAGCAGTAGAATGCAGGGCTGTTTTCTGGAGAAGAACTACAACTGTCCAGAAGCATCTGCAGGACCCACAGCCCAGGGGACAGATTGTGTGCCCTTCTTTGAAAAGGGGAAGGACAGTTGGGGACATGAGTGCTGATTACAGTTCTCCAGTCCTTCATGTACCCCTGGGGACAGACTTTAAACCATTTCAGGCAGATAATGATCTGGCTTATGTTTTGAGGATGATTCACATACTGGAGGGAAAACTTTACAGTAGCAGTAAATTGGTTGTGACAGGCAAATATTACATGCATATGGATAAACTTGTATGAAATGATGAATGGATGATTACACAGACACATATTGGGAGTGAGTGGTCTTCCACACAAAAAGACAATGGTGTTAAGGAAGCATCACTCATCGTTTCTTACATTTATCTAAGAACTTAAACTTATCCATTTCAGACCTTTGATAAGCCACTATTTGATCATGTGCTGAGAATGCTCAGGACAATAACATGCTCAGAATAAGTATAAACCAGGCATTTGGAAGATCCATCTATGATTTTGGCTCTATAAGTCTGCTAAGAAGTAAGGCTAACAAATTTGTCCATAGTTCTACACCCTACTAGAAGAAATTTAATAATTATCTTTCAATGTAGTTTCACTTTTTTCTCTTTTATCAACAAACCACTGCAATTACCTTGTTTGGTGCAATTTTAAAATCAGGAGTAGTTCTGGCAAATGAGATTTCTTCTTTCAAATACAGGCAGATTGACTGAAATACACTGCTGAGGGGAGCAGCAGGCGAGAAAGGAGAGTTCTGCTGTGCCATGTGGGTCACCTCCCTGGCTAGGGATGGAACTCGTGCTGCAGTGGCTGCGGACACCCTCATAGTGCTGCATCCTAACCCCTTGCGCCACCAGGGAGGCCCTCAACTGTATATTATTAATTAAAATTATTATATTTAATGACACATGTTCCTGGTAAAAATTTTATATAGACTGAAATGGATAGTACACCGTGCTACCAAACCATAACACCCAACTCCATCCTTCTGTCAGAATGCAGCCGCTGATGCCAACTTTTTGTGTGTACCCACTATGCTTAGACTGTCTCTGCCAAGCTGTCCACGTTCACTATGCTCTCCAGTTTGCCACAGTCTCCACCATTCCCTAAAGACATACATTTGCCCTGGTTCTCCTGATTGTTGTTGGTACCTACAGACATCTGACTTTGCAACCTCAGCAAAGCAGACATGTAATTCTTTATAATGACAGTCTTCAAATGACCAATCATAGCCTACTTACCTGAGGATATACCCACGTAGCACCCCATTGTGCTCTGTTTCTGGGGGTGGTTGCCACTGGACCATGATAGACTGATTTGTCCGTCCACTGGCCACTATATTTTTCGGGGGGGCGCTGGGTGGTTCTTCAGGTAACATCAACCTAAAAAACAAGGAGGGGGAGGGGAAATAGAGATCATGAGGAGAAACAAAGGTGGCTCATTCATGTTTCCTGTCTTGCTGAATCTGGAGCCATTTACTAAAATTGAGTGATGAGAAAAACAAAACACACAGGTGATCAAACTGAAAGGACACGCATGAAATAGTTACAACAAATCAGCATAATAGGAAATCAGTTAGGCAGCAGCAAGGAAGACACAGGAGGTGACCTTATTCTGTCTGAAAAACCCATGGTACCGCTACTCTTTAACAGATTATAAGCCTGAGCGAGCCAGCTCACAGGCCCACAGTCTGAGACTCCTTCCAAATTATTTTCTTTAGCTCTTTCAATATTCCTCATCTCAAACGCTCACATTCTAAAGAAAAGTCATTTAGATCTCCACAATTCTACAACTCAATTCCATGGGGAGCTCGGGGCAGCTGGGGAGTGGGCATGCTGAAATCTGATGAAGCTGTTTCCCATGTTACATCTGAGTGGGCTTCAGAAGCAGCCACCCCAGGGATGGGTGAGCAGCAGCCCACTGGGGATCCACAGCAACACCAGTGCTCATTCAGCTTTCTCACAACACTCGGAGATGCTTACTTGTCAAGACTGTCAAAGCGTGGTACCAGCGCCGGCCCTCTTGGCACTCAGCTGGATAAAGGGCCTGGAAACAGGCACACTCTGCATTTCACGTATACCGAGAGTTGTGCTATCAGGAATAATTTATATCAGCACGGCCAGAGAGCATCACTGAAGTCTACGAAACTTCCCTCAGAGCGAAGGACAGCCAGCTAGTCCAGCACATGACTGCATTTTCTCTCTTTTTGCCAGTAACACCAAGGGCTGGAGGGTGATTACTTTGATCAAGTTCCTCTACTTGAAACGAGGCCTCTACTTGCTCTAAGGCTCAGCTTGCCCCTTGTCCCCTGACAGAGGGATGGCACTCACGCACCTGCTTGTCTCTGTGCTGTACTGGCCCTTCCCCACTTGATTCACGGCACACACCCTGAATTGATAGGTGCGAGCTGGGGTCAGACCATGTACGGTGACGCCTGTCATCTCGGGGCCAACATCTGACAGATGCACTTTCCATGGAGAGTCTGAAAGAATAAGCAAAACAAATTCAAACCTACACAAACACAAGTATAAATAATGAGTGCATACAAAATGCATTCCCTAAATCATCTTACTGGCTTACCAACGCAGGTGTTGGAGACGGAGCACTGATTTCAAAGCGCTGATTTCAACAGACATGGAAACCGAGCTTCATGAGGCTGGTAACTAGTGAGCCTGGCAGTAAACTCAGGGCCCCCCTCCAAGCCCAGAGTGCCTCCCGTTACCCCATGCTGCCGTCAGCAAGTAAAGAAATTTTCTGTTCAACCCGCATATGGCAGTTCAAATGGAACCGAAATATTTCTCACCCCTGTCTTCAATATGTGATGGGAAAGAGTTCTCTGACAGCTCACATGGTTAGGCAGATTGCAGATTTTCCTCCCAGAAGAGGATGCTGCACATGTCACCAAATGATAAATAAAAACTATATTCATTAACATTTTAATAAAAGAGGAAATGAGCATGATAAAGACAGATGGGCTGTGTATTTCGCAACCCATCTGCGTGGCGGTCCGTTCCACCACCACACCCTGAGTGGCTTTGGCTGGAGGGAGACGTAATGAAATTCACAGCTAGTTCACAATATCTTTCTACCCAGCTTTCTGGCAGGTGTGGGAGAACAATTCTGTCAGCCAAATGAGGCTTCTGAAGGTTCTGCTGGGCTCCTACACCTTCGCGTGATTGTTTTGCAGTTTAAACATGCTTTTTGGCCAGATCATTTCAGAGAGTGAGGCCTTGGCTTGAACAAGCCCTGGCATTGAGGTTGAGCACCCACTGTCAGTTCCCATTCTGAATCACTATGGTGCCTGAACTGTATTTTCAAGTTATCAGTGAAGTAAAGCCTGGGGAAAGAGTGTGCGTGAAACCAAACCTTCTGTCTGTTCCTAGGGTGCTAACATCCCTTCACCCCCTCCCCACCCTGGAGTTGGTTAGAAAGAGATGACATATGAAGTCCACCTGGGCATCAGGCAATGCTCAGACTGAAGACAACACGAGCTACATATACACTCCTCACGTGGATCACAGCCACTTCTGCAAAAGCCTGAATGTCTAGCGGTAAGGACTCATGAGTCTGGGTCTGGGAGCTCATTGGAAATGCACTCTGGTCCCTTCCAGGTCAACAAGAAGCCATAAACTGCTCTGAAATGAAAGAAGACTCTCAAAGGCCACCTCACTGACCTCCACAGAGATGCCTGTCACCAAGTTGGAGTTTGTAAGCCGGATTCCTCAACAAAAAGTTATGCTGCTCTGAAGCATACTGCCAGTTGGGCTTGAAGACTGAATCTTTTTAATTATTTCAAATAAAGCTGCTTCCAAAAATGGCTTTCTGGGAATGCAGTCTTCCCCACCAGCTGGGCATTTCAGTGTTCTTGGCTGTGGATTTGCCGTGATGGGTAATCTACAGTTGATGAGGAGCCCCCTCACTTTATGTTTCCTTAAAAATGCCACGTGTGCATCCCTGACGAGCTATGGGAAAAGCACAGCAATTTCTCTTTCACTTTGAGAGTCTGAGACCCCCCTATAAGCATCCAACAGCTTGTGGTGATCTGGCTTTCTAAGGTAGCTCCCTTACAGAAAAGAGCCACTTGTCAGCACAGAAGATGAAAGCGCTCCCCTAGTATCACTGCGACTGGACTTCTTTGGTGGGAACCAGGGCTCTCCAAGTCAAGCTTCAATGGAAAGAGTTTTCATTCTGTTGACTGAAAGGTAGTAGAGAAAACATGGATACCAAAGTTGACTATGAGCTCTCCCACTGACTTGTTTAATCTTGCATGTGCTTCTTATGTGAAAATGGGGGTACAAATCAAAACCACAATGTGATAGCACCTCCTATCCATTTGCATGGTTATATAGGGGAAAAAAAGCACAAAATAACAAGCGTTGGCGAGGACGTGGAGAAGTTGGAGCCCTGTGCAGTGTTGGTGAGAATGGAAAATGGTGCAGCTGCTGCAGAAAACAGGATGGCAGTTCCTCAAAAAAATTAAAAATACAATTTTACCACATGATCGCAATTCCACTTCTGGGCATATATCCAAAGAAAATAAAAATAGGGTCTCAAAGAAGGATCTGTACACCCATGTTCATAGAGCATTAGCCAAAAGATAGAATAGCCAAAAGGTAGAAGCAAGTCAATAGTCCATCACATTGATGGGTCAATGAATAAACAAAATGTGCCCGATTTATGTAATAGAATGTTATTCAGTCTTAAAAAAGAAGGAAATTCTAACATTTGGTACAGCGTGGATGAATCTTGAAGACACTAGGTTTGTATTAGAAGAAGATAAATCCCGTATGACATACTTAAATGAGATCCCTAGAGTAATCAAGTTCACAGAAAGTGGAAGGTGGTTGCCAGAGTCTGGGGGAGGGGGATGGGGAGTCGGTGTTTCATGGGGAGTATCAATTTTGGATGATGAACACATTTTGGAGATGAACAGTGGTGATGATCACACAACAATGTGAATATACTTAAGGCTACTAAATTGAGCACTTATAGTTAAAGATGGTATATTTTATATGTATTTCACCACAATTCAAACTTTTTAATGGTGAAAAGATGGGGAAATAACAACTCCTGAGATTGTTATGAATATGAAATAAGAAAATGTGCATTGCTGTGTCCAGCCTGGCCCAGGGAGCCTGGTCTGTGCTCTGGACATACTTGATTCCCAGAGTCACTTCCACCCTCTTTGTGCCCCGGAGGCCCTGCCTGGCAGGGATGGTTCCCACCCCAAGGCTTCTCCTAAAGAGCAAAGGGAGGGAGAACGAAGTCAGGGCTTTTTCTTTTCACTGGGAGGCTGCTCAGACTACCTGCATCCTCCATCCAAAGGTGCCTGCTCTCTGCACACTCTCAGCTCTGCAGCCTCCTTGTTTCTGTGGGTCACTGGTGGTACCAGCTCTGCTGCTACCAGCCCCAGATTACTGGGGGTTCCCTCAGCCCACACCTTTGCAAAATTTTCTCAAAGCTTCCTCCTTTATTATTCTAATTTGAGGGTGCCCAGTTGCCTTGTGGGTACCTAATTGATAGCTTGTTCAACAAGCTTATCTTTCATCCCTTTCGCCCTGCAGATCTCAGTGTCTGTAAGCAACAGAGTGACCACAGCAATTTCAGCAGGAGACAAAGTCGAAAGGACAATGTTCAAACCAGCTGACTGAAGCTGTTAACTGCAGGAAGAAAGAGGCAGAGAGGGCCCAGAAGTTGCCTTTCCTGCCCTTAGAGCCTCCTTCCCAGCCTTTGCCCCTGTGACTGGCAGCCATTTGTCAGCTCTTGGAAGTGCCTAACTCCAGCAAGAGGATCTGTTACCCAGTTTGATTTGACAACAGGGCCCATTAATCCACTCTATACTTTTAGTCCTCTGGATGCATCTACAGAATTCTTTATTCTTTTCTTCCCTCTTACTAAAAGATAAAAGATCTGGCAAGAAGAGAGATTAAACTGAAAACTAATACAAATGAATCCAATCCATCCCAGGGGCACTCTGATTTGTACCAAAAAAGAAAAAAAAAAGTGGTTTGGGAAGGATTAGCTCATTCACAAGCTTCCGAATTGCAAGCTCGCTGAGAACTGTTAAAATTTAAATAGCAAGGTCTGTTCCTAACAATCAATAAGCAAAATCCCTTTAAAAGATTCTTCTCCCAGTCCTCACAAAAGAATACTACAGGATGCTTGTCTTGGAGGCTGGGATATAGAAGGATCTTTTGATAAAAGAAACCATCCCCATAAAAGTTTTAAATAGTTTTTCCTTCCCCTTTAGGGACACCTCTGGCTCCTCTGATCTAGAAGACCAGACAGAAGACAAGGAATTTCAGACTCTTCCAGTCAGGCTATTATACAAATCTCTGCTGCACAAATGGCCATCACTAATCTTCTGAGCTACCAGCATCCAGAACCCAAGAGGAGTTAATTGTCCTCCACGCTTTCTGTTGTTTAAAAAGCTAGTGGTGTTTAATCTTTGCAAACGTACTGAAGCTTATTCCAATAAAAAAGCATTACCTATTTCCTTAATTAAAAGTACGTAAGGAAGGAAAATGCTTTTTCAAAGAAAACTTTCTTAATTGCCCAGAGGCCCATTATTATGACTAATACCTAATGTCTGCACAGCAGCCCGTGGTCTGGAAGTACTTCTGCACCTGGAACCTTGGGGAGAGCTATGGGCCTCCTCTCACAGACAGGAAACAGAAGACTCCAGGGAGTTTAAATAACTTCTCCAAAAACTCATGGGCAGCCAAAACCTAGACTGGCGGGAGGGTCAGCATCACTAACATACAGCAGCTGGACCCCTGTGTCTCCTCAGGAGCTCCAGCAGGAAGTGCCAACTACACCCAGGAAGTACTGACGCACACACACAAACCAGGAAAAGAATGTCAAAAGCTAAATTGAAGTTATTGCAACTCCAAGCAATAAAGAGGACTCTAGGACCTATGAAATGAGACCTCAAGGAAGCAACTAGCCAAATCCAGGGCTGGGGACATAAAACAGGACAAACACCCTGGCCTCTGCACCAGGAGAGCAGGAGAAAAGGTAGTGGGAGGCTTGTGGATGTCCAGATTAAGAGATAGAGCAAGATGTTAATAATGGGGGACACTGGCAGCAGGGTAAATGAGAACTCTATCTTCAGAATAATCCTGAGAACCTAAAGCTGTTCTAAAATAAAATACCAAGTAGGAAAAAAATAGACCTGTCAGCGAATAGATTGGTGTGGCCTGGGAGGAGAGGGGCTGTTATAAAATCCTGAGCAGGCTGGCACTGAAGATTCTGTGTGATCTGCAGTCTTCTGAAAGAAGACTGAGGTCTTCCAGATGGACGTGAGTCTATCAAGGTATTAAATACATTTAAAATGAGTGAATTCAAACACAATTTTGAAGAATGTAACTTAGACCTACACTGGGCAACTCTGGGAGACGAGACTGAGGCTACAAGAGGGACTGGTCATAAGAGGGATGCCTAAGGCAGAAAGAGTTCTTCCACTAGCCAGATAATTTCATA